GAATATAAATATAGAATATAAAGTAATATAAAGTAAAAAATGATTTGAACCACTGTGAGTGGAAGTTTCCACTAAAAATTCCATTTCAGTTTTTTTTTTAATGTCTGATGTGTGTGGCACATGCATACATGTGTGTGCATGGGGTGTGCCCCCATATGTGTATGGTATATGTGTGTGTGGTCTGTGTGTGTACACAGTGTGTGTACCCATGCCCCGGTGTGGAACCCAGAGAAGAACATTGAGTGTCTTGCTCTGTCACTCATATGTTCCTGTCTGTGTGGGTACATGTGTGTGTATATGCATATGAAGGCCAGAGGACACCTGTCCACCTCCTTTGAGGCAGAATCTCTCACTGTCCTGGAACTCTTCAGTTAGGCTAGACTGCTGGCCAACAAGCTCCCGGGGGTCTCCTGTCTCTCCCTCCCTGGCATTGGGGCTGCAAGTGTGCTCCAATACTTCATTTTTACCTAGGTTCTTGGGGTTGAACTTGGGTCATGTGCTTGCAAGACAAGCGCATTCCTGACTGAGCCATCCCCTAGCCCAAGTCTCTGTTTCATGTCTGTTCTCACTGTTGGATGGCAGCTTTCACACGGGTAGAAACTCTGCCACTCTCTTGTCCCCACCTTGGTGCCTAATGGAGTGACACCCCATGAACATTTCCCAGTGACCCCAGGTAGAACATCCATAATCTGAAAACCCAGTGCTCTGTGCTCCAAAACGTCAAAGCTTTTGTTCACACACACATCACCACAAGTGGGAGGTCCACACCGGCCACTCAGAAATACCCAAGGAGACCCGGCTTCTATCGCCTCATCCTGGAGATCTTCAGAGCATGCCAGGAGACCTGCCAGCCCCAGACCAGAGGCTTTACCCCGTCTTGCCCTCTACTGTGAACCCTGAAGTGTGAGCCATGGTCAGGAGTGGGGGACCATTGACTGTGGTCACAGGGCCATTAGCCTCCCCATTATCCTAAACTCTTCTTGTTGACTTAGACTTCTTGACTTTCAGGGACAAAGTTCTACCTGCCAAGCCAGGCAGTTGCCTCAGGCCAGAGGTCTTGCTGGGGAGACAGGTGGATCTCCCCCATGGCCCGATTTTTACCTGGGCTGCCTGTCAGTCTGTTTTCTCCCTGAGAATTGTTCCAGTCTTACCTCTCTGTCTTTTCTCTGACAGGGTCTCCCTTCGCCCGAGCCAGCATTAAAAGTGCCAAGCTGGAGAACTCAACCTTTTTTCACAAAAAGGAGAGGAGGATGCGCTTCTACATCCGCCGAATGGTCAAAACTCAGGCCTTCTACTGGACCGTGCTCAGTCTGGTCGCTCTCAACACGCTGTGTGTCGCCATTGTCCACTACAACCAGCCCGAGTGGCTCTCAGACTTCCTCTGTGAGTACTATTCCCAGCCCACTGCCTCCCCAGCCTGCTACTGGCTTCTGTTCCTCCCTTAGTACTCACAGAACTGCCCCTGCCTCTAGCCAGAGGCTATAAAGTTGCTACCACAGTGAACGTAAGTAGTCAGATTGGTGTTGCTGTAGTGATTGACCTGAGGCAGCTGAGGATGCAAAGACAAAAGGGTTCTTTAGCTCATAGTTTTTTAGATTCAAGGGCACGACCCCTGCATCTGCTTAGCTCTGGGGAGAACTTCAAGGTAAGTGCAGTGGCAGTTGTGGGAGGGCATACTGGACCAATGATCAATCACACTTGAAGCCAGGAAGCAGAAACAGGCAGATAGGGATACAAGAAGAGAGAGGAAGACAGGAGCTGGTGAGATGGCTCAGTCAGTAAAGGCGCTTACTGCTAAGCCTAATGACCTGAGTTTGGTCTCTGGAGCTCACAAGGTGGAAAGAGAACAGACTTGTGAAAGCTGTCCTCAGACCTCCACAGATATGCCATGGCATGCATGGAGGGAGGGAGGGAGGGAGGGAGGGAGGGAGAGAGAGAGAGAGAGAGAGGGAGAGAACACATCTGCAGTGGTCTGGCACTCTTCACCAGGCCCCACACCAGCTCCCACTGCCCGCACTCCAGTCCAGTCTTCCATCACACCAGCTGCCGCAACCCTTGAGAGAGACATATCCAGCCTCAGCCCAGCCCATCCTCGTCACAGGACTGAGTGTGACATTGGAAGTCAGGCTATTTAATGCTTCTAAGAGAGACAGGGATGCTGAAGTGGGGATGGAAGAAACAAACACAGAGGCCACAGGAGAGACACACATGGATAGTAGCACATGTTTGGCCCCCAAAGTACTCCAAAGTACTGCTCAGAATGTCCTGTAATATAATGTAATGTGCACTGAAAAGATGGCAGCCTTATAAACAGGTATACCCTTCACACTGCCCCTGTTTTGTCTTTTTTTCCCCCCTGGTGCTGGGGATAGATCCCAAGGTTTTACAAATGCTGGGCAGGCACTCAACCACTGAGCCATGCCACCAGCTCTTACTGGGGAAGTCTGGGCTAGTGTCTACCATTCACCACGTGCCAGCCCCTCACTGGGGGATTCTAGGCTGGTGTCTACCCAGTTTACCACCCTGACTGGGGGGACTGGGGGATTCTAGGCTGGTGTCTACCCAGTTTACCACCCTGACTGGGGGGACTGGGGGATTCTAGGCTGGTGTCTACCCAGTTTACCACCCTGACTGGGGGGACTGGGGGATTCTAGGCTGGTGTCTACCCAGTTTACCACCCTGACTGGGGGGTTCTAGTGTCTACCATTCACCATGTCCCAGCCCCTCACTGGGGGATTCTAGGTAGGGGCTCTGCTACTGAGCCACACCACAGCCTTTTCACTTCTGACTCCGACTCCCTTCTTCACTCAAACTTCTATTTCTGTCTTTCCCCTTTGTGCTGGTTTTGCCTTCCTTCTGTCTGGGCACTCATTTCTAGAATACCCTTCTAACAAATACGAGAGCATCATGCTTTCTCAGTAGATTCCAGCACCCTCAAGGCTTTGTCCTCTGGGCCTCTTCCCCGGTTCCAGGGTTTGCATGAGATAGCATAACTGCAGCCAGTTGGTGGTGAGAAGCTCTGAAAGGCTGGAGCCTCTGACCAGAACTAAAAATAATGAGCTGTGAGGAATCAGCCAAAGAGAGCATGGTTAGTGAGGGGGCAGGTGGATCACCACAATTTCCCATTAGGTCCCCGAGTGAGAATTACTCAAATCCTATTGGACTACTGCCTCCTGCTCCTGAAGCTGTTGCCTTTTCTGACTGCCCTCTCAGTCAAGTCTTTGACCTAGAAAGGCCCTAGATTCTTGTCCAAGAGTGTCTACTTGTAAGGCTGTGGTCCCCACTCCTGTTGGCTGACCCCCCAGGACACTCCAAGGAGACCATTCTTCTGAGCCTCCTGACCTGCTTCCAAGCTACATAATTGCATTTGGTCCCCCTGGAGCCATGTAAATGAGAACTCTTGTCATGACCTCTTCTCAAAGACTATTTTTAATCTCCTATTTTCTCTCCACGAATCACCTTCAGTGTGTCCTGGTTTAGGAAACAGGATTGGGACTTCCTACCTGGAGGCCTTTTTGTCTATAGACATCTTTTAGTTAGCTCTGTTTTCAAGCAACTTTTCGTGGGTCACATAGCTTGTAAGGGATGAAGCCAGGATTTGAACCCAGGCATGTGGGCTCCAAAGTCCAACCTATGGCTGATGACAGAGTCCTTACCCTAGCCATGTGACAACCTTAAATTTTCAGTGCTTATTCTGCCCCTAACTCACTATAACTCACTTGGGCAAGTCCTGACCATTGTCTATTGATTAAAGAGGTCTACAATTCTAAGGCATTCTGTATATAACACAAAGAAAGAAGCAAGGTGGCTGTCTAAACCTGGGTGTTCTGAGTCTGAGATGCAGCTCAGCTTCAGAGATGTACATGTGTCAACAAAGAGCATGCCTGATCAGTGAGCTGTGCTGGGGTCTCCAAAGCTCAGGGTCTTTGTCTGTACTTGGGTGGAGGTTCAGTCGAATGGTCCTGAGGACTCTCCCAGACCTTCCAATGGGGGTCTTGTGTGTGATGAGCTCCCTTATTTCCATGGTAACCAGGAAGCAAGCGTCTCAGAGGCCTCTGTCCTCCCAGAGTCACCCCTGCTGGGTCTCAGATGTATTAGATACTGTAGACAGATTTCCTTTCTTGACAAGTTCAATGCTAGAGACCCAGAGTTTCCTTCAGAAACTAGAAGATCCTACAAACAAGAGGAAATTTTGAAGAGAAATTAGTTTGAAGGCTTTTGACAATCAGTTCAAGCCATCTCTTTAAAGCAAGACCAGGCTAGGGCTCTTGACCCATCTTAGCCCATCTATGCTACTATAATAAAACACCTGACGGTGGGTGATTTAGTAAGAACAGACATTTCTTTTCTCACATCCCTGGAGGCCGCAGAGGGTGGAGGGAGGGGTCTAAGTGCAGTATGTGACAGGTTTGGTTGTCTGATGGAAAGCTACTGTCTGCCATGAGCGCTAAATGCTACATCATCTAGAAGAAGAAACTTACAGGAGGGCAGAAGGTGAACCCCCTGCATCAAACTCTTTTATAGGTGCCTCTAGTGCTGTTAGGGGCTCTGGGCCCTGGCACCTCTTTGTACTTATTACACCACTGTGACACTGTTATTACACCCTTGGGAATGCTGTTTCCATTGGGATTTTTGGAGAGGAACACGCACATTCAAATCTTGGCAACCTTCCAACAGTTAGTGATGGAGCCATAATTATGAAGTTCATGGAAGTTACTCTCTATCTTTCCTTTTTTACATTTCCTTTTGCCCAGAAACCCTTTCTGTCTTTTAGGTGATGACTTTTACACATTTTGTTTGTTTGTTTGTTTGTTTGTTTGTTTGTTTGTTTGTTTGCAGTGCTGGGATGAAACCCAGAGTTTATGCATGTTAGACAGATGCTCCACTGCTGAACCATACCCCAGCCCCTCACTAGGGGATTCTAGGTAGTTGCTCCACTACTAAGCCACACCTCAGTCCCTCACTGCAGGATTCTAGGCAGGGGCTCTACCACAGAGCCACACTCTCAACCCTTCATTGGTGGATTCTAGTCTTACTGTTGAATTTGAGGTAGGTATTCTACACTTAGTCACACCCACAACCCAGTTAGTCACTTACTAAATGTAATAAGCTACACAAAGATCCATCAGTCAACACAAAGCCAGGTCTATCACCGTATTCTACACCTAGCTTTCCTCATCAAGCCGGGGTAAAAACTATGTGATTAGTGCCCACTAGACTTTCTCATTCGTATTAAGACTGACCTAAAGTTAGTTGGTTTGTTGGTTAGTTTTAAGGCAGAAGACAAATGGCAGTCTTCTTTCACAGAAGAGAAACAGAGGCCCGTGAAAAGGAAGCCTTTTATGGCTTTTGGCCACAATTTGCAGAGAATTGCCTCTCCCAGCTTGCCAGGCCAGACATGGGACTCCCCACAGCTGGCTTCATCTTCCCATGGCCAGCCTCATCTCTCCGCAGCTGGATTCATCTCCCCATAGCCAGCCTGACTTCAACTTCTTCCTTCTTCTTCCAGACTATGCAGAATTCATTTTCTTAGGACTCTTTATGTCCGAAATGTTTATAAAAATGTACGGGCTTGGGACACGGCCTTATTTCCACTCCTCCTTCAACTGCTTTGACTGTGGGGTAAGTACTGCAGCTTCTCAGGCCTCCATGGTGGCTCTGCTGGCAATAGCCCATACTTGGAGACTTCATCTAGTCATAGAGGGAGCCCCAGCACCTGGGAATCTGAGGCAGGATTGTGAGTTCAAGGGTAGCCTGGACTACCTAGTGAGACCCTGTCTCAAATAAGGGAGGGCCATGGGAAGATAAGGTAACCCCTGGATGTGAGAGACCAGTCTTGGTACAGAGGAGGAAGGAGTGGTTCGCCCGGGATGCCCAGCCACTGCACGGGTGGGGACACGTTAGGCCCTCTTTGGAAAGCAGAGGTAGAGGACCCAGCAATCCACCATGAGCATTTTCAGAATGAAGCTGATTTCATTTTTTTTTTTAATCAAAGCCAGACATGGTGGCACACACCTTTAATCCCAACATTTACAAGGTAGGATCAGGGGTTCAATTCCAGCCTGGGGTAGACTTAGCTTAAGCTACATAGTGAGTCCAAGGCCAACCTGGGCTACATGAAACTATTTTTTTTTTGGTCTTTTTGAGACAGGGTCTCCCTGTAGTCCCAGCTGTCCTGGAACTCACTATGTAGACCAGGCTGGCCTTGAACTCACAGAGATCTGCTGGCCTCTGCCTCCTGAGTGCTCGAATTAAAGGTGTGCGCCACCACGCCCGGCGAGACTCTATTTAAAAAAAGAATATCTTGGGTCAACAAGATGGCTAGCAGGTAAAGACATTTGCTGCTAAGCTGGACAACCTGAGTTCAATCCCCAGGACCTATATGATGGAAGGAGAAAACTGACTCCTACAGGTTGTCCTCTAGGCAGGTCCTTAGGCAGGCTGTGGCATACACGCACGCATGCACGCACACAGTCACATACATATTCATACATATGCACAAACCCACACCCATGCTCACACACACCCCATACTCACATAATAAATATTATAAATATTTACCCCATAAATAATAAAATAAAATTTTGTAATAAGTAAAGAAATATAAATTGAGAGCGAGAGACTAAGAGAGAACCTTGAAGGAGAGCAGACCCCAAAAGTTGTAGATTGCCTAATTCCTAACTCCACAGACATGAAGCAGATGATGGAGCACCAGCACTTGGGGTCAGGAAGGGACGGGACTGCTGACGGGTGGGGCTCCTCGAAGACTGCAGTTGATCTGGGGTTGGCTAGATGATAGCTCCATGAGTGACACTGAGCTGTATCCTAAAAAGGTTAATTTTGTATCGCATGAATTTCACTTGAAGTGTGTGTGTGTGTGTGTGCACGTGTGTGTGTGTGTGCGTGCGTGTGTGTGTGTGTGTGTGCGTGCGTGCACACACTGGATGAGTTTTTGTTTTTGTTGCTTTATTTTATTTGGTTGGTTTAATTTTTGAGATAGTGTCACTCTCTGTAGCCCAGGCTGGCCTTCAACTCTCAGTGATCCTCCTGCATCAGCCTCCCAAGTGCTGGGATGACAGGCATGTGTGAGCTTTTCATAAATAAAAAAGAGGGGAGAAAAGATGAATGTTAGACTGTTAGTCACTGTGACAAAATACCTGGCAGAAACAAAAGGAGAGAAGTTATTTTGACCTCCCCTTTCAGAGCTCAAAATGGGGAAGTATGCCAGTGCCCCTAGTGACCTACTGCTTCCATCCAGGCTCCACATCTTAAAGGCTCCACAGCCTTCCAGTAAGCAGCCTAAGCTGAGGATTGTCCCTCAAAACACAAGCCCATAAGGACCTTCCAGATATGACCCTCCCATCCTCTAGGGTACTAAACCTGAGCAGGGTTTCCATCCTATGTGGTTCACACTCTGGAAGGGTGTGTAAACTCTGGGGCCCCCTCTGACCTTGACCTTGAGACTGAGTTCCCTGTTCCAGGTCATCATCGGGAGCATCTTTGAAGTCATATGGGCTGTCATAAAACCTGGCACATCTTTTGGAATCAGCGTGTTACGAGCTCTCAGGTTATTGCGTATTTTCAAAGTCACAAAGTAAGTCTCTGAGGTTCCTTAAGTGTCCGGGCAAGGGCGAGGAAGGAGGACGGTCTGCCCAACCTGCTCACCCACGGCCTGACTCCTTGCCTGGCCTCTATCGGCAGGTACTGGGCGTCTCTCCGAAACTTGGTTGTCTCTCTTCTCAACTCCATGAAGTCTATCATAAGTTTGTTGTTCCTCCTCTTCCTGTTCATTGTCGTCTTCGCCCTCTTGGGAATGCAGCTGTTTGGTGGCCAGTAAGTACTCTGTGAGATGTTTGACTTCTTACTCAGGACCCCCCACTCAGCCTCTACCAACCCATACTGACCTCCATCACTTGGCTTTGCCCTCTTCAGGCCCACTGTGGTCATCCAGGGTGGCAGGCCCCTGGGTACCATGCATGGTATCTTCCTGGGTAACAAAGATGATACAGGTGTCACCATGGAAACTAGGTGCTGAATCAAGCCCTCAGTGGCAGGTAGGGTGACTAATGTGAAATGTCCTTGCCATTCACAGGTTCAATTTTGATGAAGGAACTCCTCCCACTAACTTTGACACTTTCCCAGCAGCAATAATGACCGTGTTTCAGGTATGAACTTCCCAAACCCATGATGCTGCAATGCCAGAATCCAAGACTTCTAGGGGAGGACCGAAGGGCCTGCCTGCCCGCTGGTGTCCAACCGTAGGGTCTGCTTAGCATCCCAGGAGCCTCTGTGAATTCCTTCTCTAGCTTTCTTCCCCCTTTCCCCACTGTTTTAGAATACTGGTTTTATTATTACTGGATATGTTGCTCAGTGATAGAGCCTAGCATGTAGGTTCCATGGTTCCAGCCCCAGCACAAACATACACACAAGCACATACAGTACATACACACATTGTTCTTTTTAGCTTTCTGTATCTGTGATAAAACACTCTGACCAAAACCAACCTGGAAAGGAAATGGTTTATTTGGCTTACACATCCCTATCACAGTTTATCATTGAGGGGAGCTAGGGCAGGCACTTGGGGCAGGAACCTAGAGGCAGGAACTGAAGCACAGATCACAGAGCAATACTGCTTACTGGCTTGCTTCTCTGGCCTGTGCTCAGCCTGCTTGCCTATACAACCAGGACCACATGCCATGAGGTGGCACCACCTACAGTGCACTGGCCCTCCTACATCACTCAGCCATCAAGAAAATACCTCACAGACAGTCTCACAGGACAGTTCAACAGAGGCACTGGCCCAGCTGATGTTCTTTCTTCCCAGATGTGTCAAGTTGACAACTGAAGCTATCCAGCACACACATGCCATGCACACACACCCATATACACACATATACACATATATACACATATATACATATACACAGTGCTAAAGTAGAACATGGGTTTTATTAACAGTCAAATAGAATGAGACCAAGAGATCAAGAGATAAGTGTTGCTGCAAAGATAAGCTAAGGAGCTGGTTCAGTGAGTAAGAGCATTGGTGGTGGGGACCCACATAAAAAACTTGGCATAGCTATGTATGCCTGTAACCGCAGCCTTGGGGATTGGAGACAGTGATGCAAAGCAGTAAACTTCAGGGTTAGTGAGAGACCCCATCTCAAGGGGATAAGGCAGAGCCCTATAAAGGAAGACATGCAGCGTTCTCCTCTGGCCTTCACATGTTGCGTATGCAAGTACACATTGCCTGCACACTCACAGACATGTGCCACACACCACACACACACAGACACACACAGACACACACACACACACACACACACACACACACACACGGGGGCTGGGGGGAGAATAGCTAGCTCTCACTTGCATGTCCCAAGAATATAGGATGTCACACAGGGCCACATGGGAAGGCTCTGGGAGCACTCGTGATGCCGAAGAGGCAAATGTGGACAGGAGTCTTGATTGTGGCTCTCTTGGGAAAGAAGAGGTAGACCAGTTTAGATTACTTCCACAAGCTCTGGATGCACAGTATTTATCTTCCTGTGTGATGGGAGCCCACAGGCTGGAAGGAGAAACCCTGGTGAAGCGGCAGGACACAGCACTGGCTGGTTTACAGCCAGTGACTCATATTGACTACCTCTAGGAATTGGCTTCCTTAGGGAAAGGCTGTCCCCTAGAGTCTGCAGGGCACCAACTATATGTGCATCAGAATAGAGCAGGTGGCTAGACATCCCAGCACTCCAAGATGGAGCAGGAGGATCAGGAGTTCAAGGTCATCCTCAGTATATAGTAACTTTGGGGTCAGCCTGTGCTACATTAAGACATTGTTTCGGTGGGGGGCGGGCAGAGAACGAACCTAGGTGGTGGTATACACCTTTACAGGTCCCACGAGTCAGGAAAATCTCCAGTTCTAGGCCAGGCTGGGCTACACAGTCCCAAACATAAAACAAAAAGGGGAAAAGAATGATTAATACAGCAGCCTCTAAAAATGGAGTCACTCTAGTCTAGTCTAGGCAAGGAGACTACCCTTGTAGTCTGGACGCTCCAGAAACTTTCCAATTTATTGTTTCCTTGCGGGAGACAGAGAGTGTATAGAAAATATAACATCTGTCCATCCTTCTGGGGAGACAGTGTCTAAATAAGACCCCTAGACAGGCTCAGAGAACATTGGTGAAGCAGCCCTGAACCCCAGAAGGGATGATTGACAGGACCAAGCATGGCCCACATGTCATTAGCTTCAAGGGGGATCCAGTCTCCCCACCCCAAGGACACATAATATTGTCTACAGATACTGTTGGTGGTCACAGCTGGAAGGAGAGTGTGACTGTGATACTGGCATCTGGTAGGCAGAGGCCAGGAATGCTCAACACCCCACAGGGTACAGGATGCCCTACTCCAGGGGATGACCACTCCCCCGGCCCGCCCCCGCCATACACACACACCAGCAGTGCCAGGCTGAGAAGCCCAGCCACAGCACAGGATCATTCTAGAGTTCTTTCCCATTTCTTTCATCCTCCAGGGAATATGGATGGAAGGAAGGAAGTTGGGTTTTTTTTTTTTTTTTTCCTTTTTAAAAGACATACGGGCCAGGATGAGAGGGCTCAGCAGGTGAGGACACTTGCTGCCAAGGCTGACATACTGAATTCTATCCTGGGACCCGCAAGGATGGTAGGAGAGAACCAACCCTACAAATTGTCCTCTGACTTCTACACTCTTGCCATGGCATGTGCGTGTGCGTGTGCGTGTGTGTGTGTGTGTGTGTGTGTGTGTATACGTTAAATTAAATAAGTATAAATTTTTTAAAAATTTAAAGGCACAGTAGCCAAGTGTGGTGGATCATGCCTGTAATCCCAGCAGTCAGGAGGGTGAGGCAGGAGGATTGATGCAAGTTTGAAACTACTTTGGGCTAGGGAGACTCTCAAAAAAAGGAAAAAAAATGGAGCTGGAGACACGACTCACAGTTAAGAGCATGTACTGCTCTTCCAGAGGACCCGAGTTCAGTTCCCAGCACCCACATCAGGCAGTTCACAACTGCCTGTAACTCCAGCTCCAGGGGCTCCAACACATCTGCCATCTGAGGATACTGGCATATATGTGAACATGGCCACACACAGACATACACACATGAAATTAAATATAAATCAAAAAAAAAGAAAAAAGCCCCTTTTTTGAAAAGATGCTTAATGGTTGTATGTAGGGATAGTGCAGTGGTAGATAACCAGCTCCAGTTGAGGTCACTCCCCCAGGAGAGGACTGAGTTCCTACTGTCCATAGTACAATCTTGCTCCACAAGTTACCCTTTGTGTAGTTTTTGTGACATGGTTTCATCTAGCCCCAGCTAGCCTCAAACTCACTATATAACCAAGGCTAAACTTGAACTCCTAATCTTCTTGCTTTCCCGGTGCTAAGATGACAGACTTGCACTACTTCACAGAAGTTATGTGGGTAGTGCTAGGATGGAACCCAGGGCTTCATGCCAGCAAGTGCTCTACTACTGAGCTGTACCTCCAGCATTTTCTCTCTTATACTGGCAGGAACTCCACATTCTAAAGGCTCCATACCCATGACCCCATGTCACCCCAGTTACTTCACAAAGATTCCACTTCAAATACCAACCCAGAGAGGAAGTTTAAGGGCATTCAGGGTTTCAGAGTAAAACCCTGTTTCAAAAAAAAAAAGAAAGAAAAGAAAACAAAGCAAGCAAACAAAAACTTCTGCTCTCTCTCCCCCCTTCTTTCTTCTCTCCCTCCCCCTCTCTCCCTCCATCTCGCCCTCCCTCTTTTCCTCCCCCCTCTGTGTTTTGAACCTAGGGCCTTGTGCAAGCTAATCAAGTTACCATTGAGCTACATCCCAGTGTCCCCTTCCATTTAAGAGTTTTTGTATTGTTTAAGACAGGGTCTTGTCAAGCTGTCAAATACCAATCCATTGGTTTAACCTAGGAACTTGAAGGGACCCATTCAGCCCACATAAAACCTTCATGTCACATCAGGGAAGATAGGATTACAGCAAGGCCTGCAACACTGGCATCCCCTATTCCTTGAGGCCAAGCTGAACACCTCCAGTCATGGGGATGGGACTCAGATGGGGTTGGTGAAGACCTAGGCTGGGGACAGGCTGGTGGAACTGACTTCAGCTGTGGTTTAGAGGAGCCTACAGCCGAGAGAGGGGTTGGCTATATATCTGTCCCTGTCTTTCAGATCCTGACAGGTGAGGACTGGAACGAGGTCATGTACGACGGGATCAAGTCTCAGGGGGGCGTGCAGGGTGGTATGGTGTTCTCTATCTACTTCATCGTACTCACCCTCTTTGGGAACTGTATCCTTCATAGCGGAGGGAGGACAGGGTCAGGTTGGGGTGTGGGTGGAGCAGGAGGGGACCCTGATGCCAGGAGCCAGGCTCTGCTCTCACCAGCTGCTCCCCTTGACTTGGTGTGCAGACACCCTACTGAATGTGTTCTTGGCTATCGCAGTGGACAACCTGGCCAACGCCCAGGAGCTCACCAAGGTAGGAGGTGGGATCACCCGTTCCCCAGGCATAGTTATCACCTGCTCATGGCAGATCATGACAGCAAGTATCAAAGGGACATCAGGACGGGGTCAGAGCTCTTACTGCAAATAGAAGCACCACCCTCCCGGAACCATCAAGCTAGTAGACAGCCCAGAAGGGGGAGGGGACAGCAGCAAGGTGGCCACCAGGCACACCTGCACCCAAGGGTCCGGGAATAAAGCACCCCAGGGCTAGTGAACACTGTCACCACCCAGGGGGATGGGGCAAGGAGTGGCTTGACAGGGACCCGGGCACAGTTGGAGCTGAGATAGGGGGCTGGCTTATACTCTGGCTTCATGGGACTCAGAGCATGGTAGCCAGGAAGTACCTCCCACCTCGTCCTCCCTTTAGCTATATGGAACCTGCCAGGGGATATTTGCAAGCCACCACAGGCAAGAGATAGGACACGTATAGGTCAGCCACCTGGGAGGACAGAGATGGAGCTGGGGGCACATGGTGAGATGCCACCTGTGATCATGTACTCAGCTGCTGCCTGAGTAGAATGCCTTCAAGCTGGCTTTCCAAGAGTCAGCAGTAGAGAGCTATATGGTACTACTCTAAGCGCCCTTTGTGGACAGGCAAACAGATTCAGAAAGTCTCTTGTACCAGATGGTGTGGTAATGATAGCCACTGTTTAAAGCATTATGGAGCTGGCATGATGGCACATGCCTGTGATCTCAGCACTTGGGAGGCAGAGGCAGGAGGATTGCAAGTTGAAGATCAGCCTATGCTACCCTATCTCTTGGAAAACAAGTCAAAATGACAACACAGGAGAATATAAATTGCTCTTCTACGCCAGGCTCCTGCAACCAGAGAGCAGGAATTGCTGTTCTCCCCACACCACAGGTGGGGAAACTGAGGCCCCAGAGAGGACAGGTGTTTTGCCACACACCAGGAACTGAGAAAGCAGCGATGTAACCCTGAAAAGGGAAGAGGAAGAAAAAGAGGCAGGGAAAATTCGGGGAGATAAGCCATCTGGGTGTGGTAAAGCCCAGGTTCATCTTCAGTGCCAAGAAATCAGCTGGGGCAGACTGGTGCCATGTACCCCTTAGGGCACCTCAGGGCCCATGGAGTCAGGTCCAACTCAGACAGGCACAGGAATGCAACACAGTTTTCTTCAATGCAGCTTGTGCCCTGAGGGGGGGTGGCTTAAGGAACGACTGCCAAGAATGGCTGTACAGGTTGTCTACTGCACAGAGGAAATCAGGCAGATGGTATATGGAGGGATGGGTGCATCTGCCCAGAAGGAATCATGGAGGGCACTTCTGTGCAATTTGAGAGGTAGTGTCAGGAACACATGCCAGTCACAGTTGGCTCCATGGAATTAAAAGAACATGGAATGCATGGAGGGTCCTCCTGCCCCAGAGCCTCCCCAACCTCAGCTTTACAGCCTCATCCCCAGCATCTCAGAACATGCTTAAGAGTAGGCGCTGCCAACCTACATCTGCTGCCCTGGCAGGAGGGAGAGATTCCTGACCCCATCTCCAGCAGGAGAAAAGCATAAGTCTCCCTTGTCCCAGGCAGAGGCGGAGAGCTCGGCTACAGCGAGGCAGGTTGGCTGTTGTGATGGCAGGCTGGCACATGTTACCACAGGACAATCCAGCCATGAGCTTATCCAAGGTGCAGGAGGATGGCATGGGGAGGGCAGACAGGCCAGCTCTCTATATTGTGATGGATGGGGGACAGGCATGAGGAGGGGGACAGGCCAGCTCCCTGTGCTGTAAGGCATTGGGGGCGGGGGAGGGGCAGGTCAGCTCCCTCTGCTGTGAGGGCAATCATTTTCCTGTAGACCCCAGGCTTCCCCTTCATTCACTTCATTAAGACACACACACACACACACACACACACACATTCTTGGACAGTTTGAATCCTCAAGTAAGCCTGGGGAAGCACTTTCTCTGAGCCCCAGTTAATAGATACCATCTTTCATCCAGTAAGCATGTATTGAACTTACTGTGAACACAGCCCTGGCCTAGAAGCCAGGTACATAGCAGTGACCAACAGACAAAATCCCTAGCTTGCTGGAGCAGGGATTCAAGCTGGGGAGACAGACAGAAAGCAGATATATGTGTAAAACCACACGGCTACTTAGACAAAGCTGATGCCAAGGGGAAAAGCACAGTGAGATGAGGGAGCATTGACAATTCACGTGATGAAGCGTGGGCTTGTTCAAGGTCGCATAACAATAAACGGAGGAGCTGGGATTTGCATTCAGGCCATTTGGGTCTGAACTTGTGGTTTTTCTCCACGACACATTGGTGGCTTAGTCCTGAATGTGCTTCACACACACCTGGGAGCCTGCTGAAATGTTCTAGGAGACAGCCCTGGGTCTGTGATGCTGCCAGGGAGCCTGGGCACCTGTGTTTTCAGTGTTGCCGAAGAAGACAGATGTTCCAGGGACCTGGTTCTAAAAGATGCTAGGCATGGTATGGGGGCGGGGGTCCTGCTGCCTTGTCCCTGACAGTTGTGGGGGATGAGGGCCAGCTGCCCTGCAACCACATCATGGCTCCTCTTCTTGGTGGGTTTGTTCCTATCCATAATTTTGCTTATTTTCTCTTTCTTTGCCTTTCCATCAATGGTGTTTCTATGATGTAATTGAAGGGTTCACCATCTAGGCCACAGGAGAGCAAGCCCCTGTAACCCTCTTCCCTCAGTGGGACTGAGAATACAGATCATGCATTTGCCCTCTGGGAGCCAGTGGGGTGACTCTGGGCTTTGAGCAAGCTAGTTCAGGGTTCAAACAGCTGGAAAAGCACAGAAGAAAATCCACAGAGCTGGGGCGTGGCTGAGGGGGCTGGGGTGTGACTGAGCCCTGGTCTAGCACACCAAAGCCTTAGGCTGCATCCCCATATCAAAAGAGAAGCAGGAGAGTCAGGCATGCCCTGCACTGGTGAGACTGACAGGAAGCTCTCTAGTTCCAGTCCTGAGTGAAACTGAGAGCTTGTCTGAAAGAGAGAGCAAGGGAAAGGGAAAAGCAAAGAGGTATGGAAGGGTGAGAGAGAGAGGGAAGGAGGGAGACAAAGAGGGAACTTGGAAAGCAGGGTTCGTGAGCTAGATAGCCAGCCTATACATAAAGGGGCAGTGGTACCCCTCACCACCCGTTCTCACCACAGTCTTGCTTCTGATTACCAGGCATCTGGGCCAAGCGTGTTCCTTAGTACTTCAGATCTTGCCCCAGCCTGCAGCATGGTGGGCAGTAAGCCCCCCACCCCCAGCCCTGCTCTTGTGACTAGGAAACCCATTTGCCTTCTAGGATGAACAAGAAGAGGAAGAGGCAGCCAACCAGAAACTGGCACTACAGAAAGCCAAGGAGGTGGCGGAAGTGAGTCCCTTGTCTGCAGCCAACATGTCCATAGCTGTGTAAGTGTCCCCCATGCCTTGGATACTCCAGGCACCTGAGCCTCCCAACCCTCCCAGGCAAGGATCTAGGGAAGGCTGAGGTAGCCCCTGATTGCTGAGCCTCAGAGAAAGGCATCTATGCCCTCTCACCCACTTTCAGTCAGTGAGTGTTTAATGAGCACTTACTCTGTACCCCATCCTGTTATAACTGCTGGAAAACAGCATCAGTGCCAAAGAGAAGGATCCCCACTTTTGCATATCTGTTCAGGCCAAAGAGATAATAAATAATGAGACAAGTAAGTAAACTGTATATAATGTATTAGAAAGTTAGCACCACAGAGAAAAACAAAGTGGGGAGGACTGGAGGGGGTACTAGGAGTGAAGTGTCTTGGTTGTATTTGTTATTTTGCAATGCTAGGGGTGGAACCCAGGACCATGCACAAACAGTGCTCCACCACTAAGCTTCACCCGAGAACTGTGACTGTAAATAAGCTTTTTAGAGCTGGGCTTGGTGGTGCACTCAGTTGATCCCAGCACTCAGGCAGGTAGATCTCTGGGGTTCAAGGCCAGCCAGGGCTATATAATGAGACCCTGTCTCAAAATAATAAACTTGTCACCTAGAAGGTGACAAGACTTCAAGGAAATGAAAGAGGAGCTACAGGGAAAGACAAGAGGAGGAACAAAGGCCTTGAGTTAGGAGTATGTTTTGGCAATATGGAAGGCCAGCATGGCTGAAATAGGCAAGGGGGATGATGCACGAGGGGAGATGAAAGCCACGAGGTGATGCCGAATTGGCAAGGCCTTGTGGGCCACAAGGAGAACTTGGTTTTGGCTCCAAGGATTTGTGCTTAAAGTTAGGTAAGAGGCAACTTGGGTTCTTGAGCAGTGGAGTGTCAAGACCAGACTCAGATACTCACAGGTCATAGGTGCCCTCTGGCTATTCTTGGAAGAACAGACTGTGAGAGCCAGGGTGGTTAGCTGGGCCTTGAGGGATCAGAGTGCAAACCTGGGCTGGTCTGTGAAAGGGATGAGAACTGGGTGGGGTGGTGGGTACAGCTAGATTCAAGTCAGATTCTAAAACTGGGACAGAAGTTTCCTTGGTGGATAAGAGACAGTGACAGTGAAGCCATCTTCATCAAAGAGAGGTTCACAGACTCCCACCTTCTGAGTCGGATCTTTACTGGGTAGCTAAGGGAAGTGGCACAGTGCAGGGCAGTGTTCCATAGAATCAGCACTACCCCAAAGACACTCATAGCAGCCCAACTGGCTGCTTCATCCAGGGCTGCCCAAGACTCCTGCTGCATGTACCAGCTACCCTGGCTGCTCCCTGGGACCCTGGGCTGCCCAGGACCTGAAAGAGAAGGGTTATGCAGACATTGCTGGTGCTTAGGGAGACTGTTTCCTTATCATAGATATCTGGAGGATTGGGGAGAGAGACTGCTTCCAGATCACAGATATTACTGGGACCTAGTAAGATACTCAGGCCATCAAAGCCACACCCGAGTTTCATGTGCTGCCATTTTTAAATTTTATTTGTTCATTCATTCATTCATTCATTTTTTCTGGCGCTGGAGATGGAACTCAAGGGCTCACATATACATGGTCAGCCAGCCCTCCACCACTGAGCCCTTCACTGGGGGATTTTAGGCAAGAACTCTACTTCTGAGCTGTATTCCAAGCCCCTCATTGGGGGATTCTAGGCTGTTGCTCTACTGCTGAGCCACATCTCTATCCTCCATTGCCTTTTGGCCTTCTGTGAAGCAGGGCATTTTGACAGGAGCCCATGATGGAGACAAGTTGCTCACTTCATGGTGCTGGAGATGTAGAAAGAGGAGGAAGGGGCCAAGGTCCTCAGTGTCCCTTCAGAGGTAGGCCCCTGATGACCTAACTTCCTCCAAGTAGCACCCAAGTCCTAAAGTTTCCTCCACATTCCAGAAGTTCATGCAGTTATGAACACCTCAGTGGATCTGTCCACAGCACACCTATCCTCCCAGCACTGGGAAGCAGAGGCAGGAGGCTGTGCTACTTAGGGATCCAAAAAATACAAAGGGAGGTCCAGCAAGATGGCCCAGCTGGTAAAGGAGCTTGCTGCCAAGTCTGACCACCTGAAATCAGTCCCCAAAGAAAGGGAAACAAACTGCAGCTAGCCATCCTCACTTCCACACATGCTATGGCATAGGTACAGACACAAATACATACATACATCATACATACTTAAACAGTAAAAAGTTAAAAGAATCTACTGATGGGGTCAGAGCTCTCATGATCCAATCACCTACAGAAGGCCCCACCTTTGCACATGGCTACATGGGACAGCAAATTTCCAACCCAAGAGCTTTGGGGGTCATTTCACATGGCAGGCATCTTAGGAGACACCAGTCGGGAAGAGACACCAACTGGGAGGGGTCCTGGAGGGCAGGTGATACTGCAGGTGGGCCAACCCCTAGCCCCCATGCCTAGGGTCAGGGTCATTCAGCATGGCAGGGTCCCCGGGGCCGGGTGGTCCTGCACGCCAGCCAGTCCCAGGTCCCGGCTGCAGCCTTCCTGCCCTCGGCCTTGCAGGAAGGAGCAGAAGAACCAGAAGCCAGCCAAGTCGGTGTGGGAGCAGCGCACCAGCGAGATGCGCAAGCAGAACCTGCTGGCCAGCCGGGAAGCACTGTATGGGGATGCGGCGGAGCGCTGGCCCGCGCCCTACGCGCGCCCGTTGCGGCCGGACGTCAAGACGCACTTGGACCGGCCGCTCGTGGTGGACCCGCAGGAGAACCGCAACAACAATACTAACAAGAGCCGGGCGGCCGAGCGTGCTTCCGATGCGCTGCGACCGAGCTTGCGGCCCCGGGAGCGCGGGCGCGAACCCGACGCCCGGCGCGCCTGGCCCGGCAGCCCCGAGCGCGCACCTGGC